GAGTGTTTTGAATTTTTGCCACCAATAAAGCAGCCATGTTTAATGTAAGTTTTACGATGAGCAACATTTTTATACAACATGCACTGATGACGTCAGAAAGTGAAAGCTGTCGAGAGAAAGAATCTCGTACCATGTTTCTTCAGAAATTTTCGAATCTTCCGGGACAATCCAGCGATGAGATGAATAGGGGTTGAAGTCTTTGGTCGAGACGTTATATGGTCAGATGGCTGAATACAGATTATATTGAACAGAGGGGCTTGTCGGGTATTACGCAATGAAACAAAGGTCTTTGAATTCCCCATCAGGAAGCGCATTAGCAGTATTTACAAGCTCTGAAACGCCTGCATTTGAGGCATCTTTCGATTTTTAAAGCTACTGATACCATAAAGTGTCGCAGTGCTTCGTTTTAACCCAAGTACCTTACACTATCCTTGAACTCCCTAGGCAGATTGAAGGACAACGCGGAACGTTCATCTAATAACGTTTCTGTTCATTTCCATTCTGATTGCCATTACATGTGGAAGTTCATTAAATTTTAATTAAAATGCATGACGCAGAATAAAAATATGAATATTTATTGTAATTTGTTATCATTCTTAAACTTGTGAGTGATTTCTTCGAAATGTTGTCATTGTAATGTCAGAAGCTAACATCTTGAATAGTCTGTGATAGTTGTGGCATGCTATGCGTCCACAACGAACTTCTTTGTGAATCCAGAGCTAAATTGAGCTTTTGCACTTCAAGTCGTTTTACTGTCTGTCATAAAATATTCAGGGATACTCAAATATTCGATCAGTTGTTAGAGGCGCGAATTTGGCTTCTAAGAATCAGTCTGCGTCTAGTAGAAATTTTTAATTTGCTAAAGTGTTTCTGATTCGAAGCCTGAAACAGTTTCCTTCATACAGTTTTAATTAATGACATCTTCACAGTCGTAGTTACAGTGAAAAAGATGTGATCTCTGCATTTTAAGGTTTATTATCCGGTCGTTACTGGGTTGAAAGATGATCTAACTGGTGCTAAGAGCGACGACGAAGATCTCGGTTCGCATGGTTCGGAAGACACCCAGAGTTGTTGTTCATCTGATGATCCGGCCACAGAAAAACGCAGCCGGGAAAAGAAGGAAAATACATCCGCATTTATGAGGCAACGAGATGAATCGCCGAACACGAAAAAGGTTATTCTTTAATAGTTCTGTATTCCATATATATTGTTTCGGTCCGAACTGCATATTCTGTCCGGGCAAAGCCGACAGTACATCATTTTCTTGAAGGAGAGAAAAATGAACTATATACTTTTTGGCTACACGTGTCGGTATCGTCATGGCATATCTTTTATGTACTGATGACGAATTCTATATGTGGTGTAATCCCTTTAAGGATTTTTCCAGTTATATACTAACCATAATAATATGGTTACCAATTTATAATAAGTGGCCTTCGTAGTGTAGTGGTTATCACGTCTGCTTTTTGTGTTTGCGTACAGTATATCCTCGAATTAACGAACTCTATCTTCTATCAGGGAGAAGGGGCATCCGTAAAATCAAATATTCCTTAGAGTAGCGATTGTATGAAACCAGGGGTTCATTAAATAACAAATTATAAACGTTGAAGCAAGGATGAACCTTGTTTATGTGCAAAACAGTAAATTTCCGATGTATTTTGCATAAACTTCTTTCGTTTCATAAATTTGTCTCTTCATATCATGTTATTTGCAGAGACATGTAATAGCTGCTCCACATTTAAATTTATCAATCAGTTTTAATTTCTTCTCTGCAGTAAAGTCTGTACGTTTCGTTTTTTGTCCATCGTGTATTAATTTCTAAAAATATTTGTGACAAACTGAGCCTACATGTTCTGCTGTTGTGTGACCGTCTTTAGCTTACCGGTTCAATAACAATAGTGATTAGGTTTCAGCCTGATTTAGTTTACACTTAACAGTAATCAAATTTACAAATTAATTCTAACTTAAATTATGATGCTCTGTATAAATTCTATGATTGACTGTTTAATGTTATGTCTATGTATATCTTTTCTGAGGTACACATATGCTGTATAAGATTTTTTGTACGCGAACGTTTTAGGCAGATTTGATGAAGAACATGATAGTAAAATAAATCGAGTTTTTAAAAGACGGTAATTTTTCAGTGTTCGACTCTTGAGCACTCCCCAAGATTTCTGCCAGGACAGTGGTCATGTTCCTTAACAATTGCTTCTGACGTGATTTGTGTACTTCGGAAAAAGGCTTACTTTTAATGAATAACAGGACTTTATTGCACTTTAACTGACTGTCCATAAAGCGTATAACATTTAAAAGTCATGGGTTGGTATCTACCACTGTACTGGTATTATATATAATTTCATGTTTGAACGACGA